ATATATATATATATATACATATATATACTTGTAACATATTTGTAAAACGTAATAGGTACGGTTAGTGTAAAAAGTATTTGTGCAGGGAAAATATCTTTTAAAAAATCTCGTTTTTAAAAAGTAAGTATTAATAACGAATAAAATTGATTGTATATTTCTTAAAATTTATCTGAAAAGATGTATAATAATTAAAATGTATTATTTTAATAATAAGCAAAGATTGTATTACTTGGATGCACATAAATATTATATAAACGTCAAATAGCTTAGAAAAACTTTAAAAATCATAAACACAGTTGTTTTTATATGCAAAACTTTTGTCTATATTGAAAATTTTCTAAGTCTGACGTTAAACATTTTTTGAGAGTACTGATTAGTTCTGATTGAAGTTCTCGTCGAGTTCTATCGAAAACTATTAGGACTCAATGCGATTGAATGACTACATAAGGAATTACGTATTTTTGCAATCGATTTTGGAAATTTCGTTTGTACATATCTCTTTTATTTTTGGATCTATGTTGTTTTTAATCGCTGAGAATTCTTCAAAGTAGATAAAATAATAATTAACATGTCACGGAACTATTGTATCAAAAAATTCTTTTTTAAAAATTTTTAATTTTTTTTGTATTAATTTTGTTATGAGTTAAAATAGTTTTTTTTATGTATCAGGAACTTTAGATATTCACAGAATAGAGCTGCTTAGAACTATACTTGAATTTTGATAAGAAATTAGAACCCTATTTTTTGAAAATTATTAAAAAATTGTTATTAAGCGAAATTCTCATTGAAAACTATAAAGAACTCTTTGTCTCGTTAAAAGGAAGCAAGAACTCTAATCAGAACTATTGTATCTAAAAATTAATTTTTTTTAAATTTTAATTTTCAAAATTAAATAATTTTAGACTCTTTAAACTTAAAGTTAATTACAATAATGGAACGGGCATAAAAGTCAAGCGCGGTAGTTAGATCGCAAAATTCTTTTATTCTAAGCGTTCTTATAAATTGATAGACGTGACGTTCTTCTTATAATTAAAAGACGTTTTGGCTTTCTTCCGAGCCATCGTGAGTATACAATATTTCTGCTTAATTTCTCAAATCCCTTATGGAGAAGTACTGTGAATATCGCTTATGTTGGTTGTCAAACCAATTGACTTAGATCCTGCAATGAGACGATATTCTTCACTTGACAAAGTTCTAAATTTTCTTTGATTAAAAACTTACCCATGAGGAGTCGAGAATCACACACGAAATATGTGGAAAGTTAACCGGTATAAAAGTATAAAAAACGTGATCCAGACACTTCATTAACTTTTAAGTTAATTAACTTTTAAGTGATATAATCCTTCAGTGTTAGATTGCAAATTAAGGCCATTCTTTTGCATATAAATGTGGAGGAATTCCGAGATTAATTTCTTATTTAAATAGCGTTCAACATCAAGTATTTCTACAGTCTCCCATTCAAATTTAATTCTATATTCTGTGATAACAGAATGATTATTGATGTTCCATTTAATTTTTATGTTCACAAATTCTAATTTTCAATTTTCTTGCTATTTGACTTACATACGTCACATCACATTCTTTCCACAAAATTTTGTAAATTTTGTAAATTTTTTTTTGAATTTTGTGGGAGAATATCTTTTTGTACCCTGCTATACCCGCGTAATTTGTTCATAGTTACAAATTGCTAATTTTATACCCAAATAACATAATGTTAGCAGGATGTCGACAGACTGGTAGCAGGTTTGATCAGCTGTTAGTCTGACCACAACTGATTCTGCTCCTGTTCTGCCGACAAAACCTGTTAACGTTCTATGCAAACAAACTGGCAGCAGAAATCAAACAGAATCTACTGACAGAATCTGATAGCAGATTGCGAACAGAAACCGAGCAGAGTCTGCTGACATAACTTGAGCAGATTGGC